GGCCCTTTTGATTTTCTGACTCCAAGTCCTCGCACATTTCATTGTAATATTTTGCTTTGTTTTCTGCCTGGGCAGAACACTTTACTGAGCTAAAATTATCTCTTTAACCTCCATTTACAGCTGATGTTCTAATTTCACATGATACTTGCTTTCAAATATTTAGGAAACTTCTATTTTTTTTTATCAACCAAATACAGTGAAAACTGGTGTACATAATACCTTACTACTTTTTTTCTTAAAAAAAGAAAAACATTTTCAAGTTAAAAAATAGCCCTAAAAAGCAAAGAACCCTCTTCTAAGGGTCCTATAAAAGTATTTACAAAGTTTCATAGTATAGAAGGACAATAAACCATTGCAAAGTTTTTTTCTTAAAATAGGCACTAGCCTCTCAACCTACACAGCTTCCTGCTTTACATATGATGTTATTCTTCACTAAAGAAAGAATTAAAGGTAAATGTTATTAAAATTTTCTTTCTCTTATTGTATTTAGGACAGCAAGAAGAGAACAGTTGTTTCAAAAGCCAGGGAAAGACTGAATTATTTTATTATTTTACCCTGAAAATGTCAACAATATTCAGCAGAAGGCAGGGAATGCATACAAAGTAACATCCTTGCTACTAACAGATGATCACTGGAAAATGTCTCTGCTCTAGGCACTGCATCTCCGTGTGCAGGTCCCAATGCTTCAATTCAATATATCAGTGATAAATGACAGTCGTTCCCAGGCTGGCAGGTTCAAGTGTTGGGTTTCGCCTCCACTGTTTCCATCTCATTTGGAAAATCAAGGCTGGAGGTGATAGATTAACGCAATATAATAATTTCTCAATACAAAGGGCTGCTGAACTTGAATTCTGCCACATTTCCTTTTCTATAGAGGTAGAATATGGCACAGTAACTCATATTTACTCAACATTCTTAGTTTACTAGTAATTTATACAGCTAAACTAAGATTTCTCAGTAGAATTCCTGGTTTTTTTTCCTGATCAAATTGCTTTTTAAATTGTATTTTTAAAATTCTCCAGATTTCCAGATTTCTTGGCACAACTTGGTGAGCA